GAGGTTGGCCCAGGATCAGGCAGTGTTTCATTCTGTTGTGCATAAGGTTGCTATGGTTCAGTACTGACTCGATGGCACCTAACAACAACAACAACCAGGGTTCTGTAGTTGTTGTGGTGGTGTTTGTTTGCCAACAAGTTGGTTCCAACTCACAGCAACCCTGTGTAGGGTCTCCAAGGTTGTAAATCTTTATGGAAGCAGAAAGCCTCATCTTTCTTCTGTGGGGCAACTGGTAGATTGGAACTGCTGACCTTTCAGTTAGCAGCCCAGGCCATAATCCACTACTCTACCAGAGCTCCTTACCTATTGTAGAATCACCTATTATTTATAATCAAATGCATTCCTAACTGACAGAGGCTTCTTGTTGTTACATGTCCTCGAGTCGATTCAGACTCACAGTGATCCTGTATAGGATTTCCATGGAGTGGTTGGTAAGTTTGAACTGCTGACCTTGTGCTTCAAACCAACCTTGCTTCAAACTGACCAGTGTCTTATCCCACAGTGCCACACCAGGCTTACAACATAGGAAAATTGAATCTCCAAATGGAGGGAAAAACATGACTATAGGAATCCAAAAGGAGATGGTGTTTAGAAACACAAGTGGGCAAGTGGGATAGGTGGGTCACCAAGTATTCATCACTGTACTGGGGTTCAAGGTCAGGACTCCCTCCCTAGAAACTGAACTAAAATAGCAAGACTCAGACTAAGTCTTGGCAATGGGATGATATAGCAGGCAGACATTCTAACTTGAGGATTCATACACAAGTCATGATAGAAGACCAGTTATCAGAATTGGGCAATGAGATAGAGGCTCCGTGGAAAAGCAGCAAAGGGACTGCTTGAGCCTGCATTCCAGCATGCAGGCTTGAGTAGCTCCAAACCTTCCTGTTTTAGGATAGGCATAGACTGCAGGTGGAAGGAAAAAAAACAACAACATTACCCTGGTGTTGTTACAGTAAAGCACTCAGCTGCTAACTGAAAGGTCCGTAGTTCAAACCTACCAGCTACACCAAGGGAGAAAGATGTGGCAATCTGCATCCATGAACACGTAAAAACCTAAAAAACAAATCTACTGCTGTAAAGTCCAATTCACAGTGACCTTATATGACAGAGTAAAACTGTCCCATACAGATTCCTGGACTGTAATATTTACAGAAGCAGACTGCCACATATTACTATTGTGGAACAGCTGGTGGATTCAAAGTGCCGACCTTTCAGTTGGCAGCCAAGCACTTTTACCACTGTACTACTACATTTCCTTTCATCAATATTACAGCCTTGTAAATTATATGGGGCAGTTCTATTTTGACTTATATGGTCATAATGAATCAGAATCAACTCAACAGCAACAGGTTTGGTTTTCGTTTAGGGAGAGATGAGGCATGCAGAGGGTGGGAGCCAGGCAGTGTCTGACAGGCTTCAGCTCAAGCTTAGCTTTACCATCCTGACATTTTTCTTACAGGTTCTTAGATTCGTCTTTAATTGCCTGCCCTTCTTTCCATTTTTTGCCCATGACCTTTTAAAATCTGAGCTTACCAGAAAGCACCCTTTGTAACCATACTGATCTCTTTAAATGGTTCCCACTTTTTCTTCTTCCTGATTGTCAAAATTTCACTGTGAAAAATCTCTTTCTTATCCTGTCACCCCAACTTGTCTTTCCCACCTCCCACCATACCTCCCCATTCAATTTGAAGGGACTCTTTCTCTCTACCTAGTCAATCCATGTCCTTCATTATGACTCAAATTTATTCCCCTGCTTTATCCTCTGCTGACCTGGGGGTAGATGGAAAGAAAGGTCTAGGAAGAAGGGTCCATCAGCTACCCTAGGCCCCCTTCACACTTTGGAAATCTTGCTTTGGTTGGGACCAGATTAGATGTCAATGTCTTCTATCCCCAATCCCAATTTCTTGTGTAATGTAAGTGAGAGAATGAGAGCCACCTCTTCTTTGTGTGCAGCAGGTACTGTATGGAAAGTTATTGTTTTGTTGTGCTCCTGAGATAAATGGACCTAGGTGGAGGGAGATTTGCCTGACTAAATATTCACAGAAGGTTTGTTCAATTTTGACTCCTCTCTGAGAATTTCCATTTCTTTCACAGATATACTGAATCAAAGTCAATGTTTTAACCAGATCCACTATAAGAATCATCTATAAGAATCACCCGTGGGTTCCGCGGGTTGCCTGACGGAGTGGCTGGTCGGTAAGGGCAAGGACTAGTACTGGCGAAAGTGAGGAGTGCGGCGGTCTGAGACTCAGTGCCGCCTCTTCTCCGCAGGATGATCACGGACGTGCAACTCGCCATTTTCGCCAACATGCTGGGCGTGTCGCTCTTCTTGCTGGTCATTCTCTATCACTACGTGGCCGTCAACAATCCCAAGAAGCAGGAATGAAAGTGGCGCTTTCTCCACCCCAGGGTTCCAGGACATAGTCTGAGGCAAGATGGAGGATGTGAGGAGCCTTCACACTTCATCCCTTCTGCCCAACACAATATACAAAGCAACTACACCTGGATTTTTCCAAACAACTTTTTTTTCCTCAAAGTCTTCCTTAACTGTATGGAACAAGAAGCAGCCTCTGAATAGGGCCCAATATAGGGGCTGCTTTCTTTTTTACTCCCCCAATATAATATATATAACATATATATATATATATATAAAGAATCACC